CCAACGTTCTCTTGTTGTCAGCCGCTCGCTCACTGCCAAACTTTCTCTCGTCAGCCGCTCGTCACCGCTCCGAAACTGTTCCTTGTTCTCGGCTGCTCGCTCAGCCGCCCGAATGTTCTCTGTCTACACTGCTCGCGTCACCGCCGAACGTTCTCTTGTTGTTCAGCTGGCTCGCTCACGCCTGAACGTTCTCTTGTGTCAGCGCATTCGCCTCACCGCACCGAACTTCTCTTGTTTCTCCGTGCTCGGCTCACCGCTCCCCGAACGTTCTCTCCGTTGTCAGCCGCTCGCTCACGCCCGTACGTTTCTCTTGTTGTCGCCACCGCTCGCCTCACCGTCCCAAACTTTCTTCTCGTCAAGGCCGCATCGCTCACCGCTGACGAACGTTCTCTTGTTGTCAGCTGCTCGCTCACCCGAACGTTCTCTTGTTTGCCAGCCTCGCTCGGCTCACTGCTCCGAACGTTCTCTTGTTCTTCCGCTGCTCTGCTCACTGCCCCAACTCTCTCGTCAGCGCTTCGCTCACCACCCACGTTCGCTCTTGTTCTCTGCTGCTCGCTCACGCCGAACGTTTCTCTTCTCGTCCGCCGGCTCGTCCACCCCCGAAGTATCTCTTGTTGCAGCCGCTCGCCAGCCGCTCGACGTTCTGTTGTGTCAGCCGCTCGCTCACCGTTCGAACGTTCTTCTTGTTCTCCGCCTGCTCGCTCACTGCCCAAACTTTTCTCGTCAGCGCGGGTCGCTCACCGCCGAACGTTCTCTTTGTTGCCAGCTGCCTCGCCTCACTGCCAAACCTTCTTCTTTCGTCAGCCGCTCGCCTCACTGCCCGGAACGTTCTTTGTTGTCAGCTGCTCGCTCACCACCGAACGTTCTCTTGATTGTCAGCTGCTCGCTCACCACTCCGAAGTTCTCTTGTTGTCAGTGCGCTCGCTCACCGCACTGAACGTTCTTTCTTGTTGTTCGCGCTCGCTCCCGCGTTTTTTTTGTTGGGCCGTCTGGCCGAATGCGGTTCTCTTGTGCCAGGCGCTTCGCCTGTCACGCGGTCCGAAGTTCTTCTTGTTTGGCCAGCCGTCGTTCTGCACCGCCTTGTTGGTGTTGTTTTCCGAACTGTCTCTTGTTGCTCAGCTGGCTCAGCGCAGGCGATGGTTAGTCGCAGAAAGAAATGTTGCGGATCTGGCATGGAGGATCTCAACGAGCAGATTAGCTGTGCGCCCCAGGTGGCCGTCTGACACGGACGTCTTACCAAGCGAGTCCAGGACACACTAACGAAGAGCTTAACGATCGTTGTCAGCAGCCTTTTAAAGCGGAGATGGGTGGCAGAGGTGTGCAGGGGTACAGCGATCGGGCACCGGGAGTTTTTCGCCGGTCGCCCCTGCCTCTAAGTTGGCCTGCCCAAATGTTTTTTTTTATAATCTTGTGCGCCTGCAGGCCATTATATATATATATATTATATATATTTATATATATATATTAAATCTGCCTGCCTGCAGGCCATATATATATATATTAATATATATATATATATATTTATATTATTATATATTAAGTCTGCGGCCTGCAAGGCCATATATATATATATATATAATATATTTATATTATATTATTAATCTGCTGGCCTGCAGGCACAGTATATATGATATAGGGTAGTAGTATATATATATATTTATATATAATATTAAATCTGCGGCCTGCAGGTCCATAGGTATTATATTATATATATATATTAGTTATATATATTAAATCTGCCTGGCTGCAAGGCGCAGTATATAGTTTGTATATTATATGATATATTAGTATAGTAGTATATTTATTATTATATTTAATCTGCGTGGCCTGCAGCCAGTATATAGTTATATATTATTATATTTGATATGTTATATATATTATATGTTAAATCTGCGGGCCTGCAGGCTCTGTATATTATATAGTAGTTTATATGTAGTATGATTAGTATTAGTGGGTATATATTAAATCTGCGGCGCTGCAGGCTCTAATATTATATAGTAGTATATATATTTTATATATATATATTTTAAATCTGCGGCCTGCAGGCCATATTATTATAGGTGGGCGTGGAGTAACGTCACTTCCCCTTAGCAACCCGTCCGATGAAAATTGACAAAGATTTTCCTGGTGGGGGAGTCCCAGGACCCCCAGACCCCCCCGCTTAAAAAGTGGCCTGTCTCGGGCTATATTTCGTGCTATATTTCCCGGCCTGATTGATTTTCCCAGTCCGGCCCTGAAGGTGAGGCAGCGGGGTATTCAGTGCGCGAAATTAGCGCTATTTTGCCGGCGGCCGCCGGTTCAACCCCCTAAACTGCCGGTTCAACCCCCCATATAATCAGTCCACTTGGCCTATTCAAAAGTTTGCCTATCTTGCCTTTATGTCAACAATATTTACCAATTTCCTGACTAGTTTTTGCTTCGTGACTACTAAGAAGTAAATCAGGTTCCAACAATTCCTGTTGATGTTCCCACTAGTAGAACTCGACTGATAGCAATCAAATGCTGAAATACTACGAGTATGCCGAATAAACACAAAGGCTAATGCTTTTATTAATAATGGAATAAATTGAACAAAATTAAGTGCCTGTTCAAACTTGTAAGGGCCTGTTCAATTTTTGTCTGAGGGCCTGTTTAGAATTTTGGCTAATTTCATGCCCTGGGTATCGAACCCTGCACCCTGACTATGCGACACGAGAGGATCGAACCCTGCACCCTAGCTATGTGGTGTGAGTGGGTATTGAACCCTGAACCCTAGCAGCGAACTGTAGTGTTTGCCTCTCTCTCTCCTCCTTTCTCTCCCCTCCTCTCTCTCTTTCCCTCTCCTCTTCCTCTTCCTCTCCCTCTTCCTCTCTCTCTTCCTCTCTCTCTCTCTATGAAGCCATATCTGGCATTCACAAGTCACAATGCTCATGCTTCTCATCTCTTGCACTCCCTCTCTCTCCCTTTCCCTCTCTCTCCCTTTCCCTCTCTCTCTCTTTCCCTCTCCTCTTCCTCTCCCTCTCCCTCTCCTTTTCCTCTCCCTCTTTCCTTCTCTCTTCCTCTCCCTCTTCCTCTCTCTCTTCCCCTCTCTCTCTATGAAGCCATATCTGGCACTCACAAGTCACAATGCTCATGTAAATTGCATCATGTAATGTAATGTAACGTAACGTAATGTAACGTAATGTAATGTAATGTAATGTAATGTAACGTAACGTAACGTAACGTAATGTAACGTAACGTAATGTAATGTAATGTAACGTAATGTAATGTAATGTAACGTAATGTAATGTAATGTAACGTAACGTAACGTAATGTAACGTAACGTAGTGTAATGTAATGTAATGTAATGTAATTGCGCAACGTAACGCAACATAACGTAATGTAACGTAACGTTACGTAACGTATTGTAATGTAATGT